CCCACTTGAGCCCAGAGCGCGCCGCGCGTGGGCGACGGGAACTGTGTTGCCCCTCTAGGAACAAGGCACCTCTCCTCTCTCCTAGGTGATTTGCTGCTACGGCTTGGTCTTTTGCTCCCCCAGGCTGGAGTTCCCAGAAAGACTTGGGATCCAAGACCGGGATATGCATCCTGTGTAGATCCACACCTTTCTCCATGGAGTGTAGGAGTGCTGAGGAGCGAAGGTCAGCCTCTGAATAAGCAGGACTAGACCCCTATCTGGACGAGGTTGGACCTCTACTTCTTCCACAACCTTCCCATGTGCACGAGGAGTTAAATGGACGCATGATGGGGAAGCCCTCAGGTGGCACCCGGGAGCTAACAGCTGGCTGCCTGAAGGCCCTCATGCTGAGCATGAGGGCTTGTTTTTCCTGGAGCCAAAGCAGAGAAGTTCAGCCCAAAGAATGTTATCTTCTGGGAGCTGGGCACAGCAACTCGCTCTTTAATCCTGGCTCTCTGGAGGCAGAGAGAGTCTCTGTGAGTTCGAGGCCAGCTAGCTGCATACGTGTGTATAGGACTACACAGTGAGACCTGTGTAGTCCTAAAAACAAACAAAATGACCTGCTTTGGTAATCCAGGGCAAAGGTGTTTGGTGGTAGTGGTGATGGAACAAGGTAGAAGCCAGTTGGAGCCAAGTGGGAATAGAGTGGTCTTCTTGGCAGCCCACAAAGGGCCCTCACTGCCTCCAATTCCCTCAGCGATGTCCTCGGGCATGCTCGCTCCTGCTCCCATAAATGCTTTCTCTAAGGACAGAGGGCACCTTGTGTTCCAGCATTCACCACAGCCATAGTCCAAGCACAGACATGGCATACACACAGCGAGGGGGCAAAGAAAGGTGTGTATGCTCAGAAGCAGGGAGCATAGAAACACGGACACCCAGACTGACATACACACACAAGGTGCTACCATAACAAGAGCAGAGACTGGTAGAAACATAGGCCTATAGACACACACACAGAGACTTCAAAGTACACGCACACACACACACACACACACACACACCACACTACACACTTCTCCCTAGCAAACTGGCCTACCCCTCTCACAAAGGGTCCAGAATCCAGACCTAGTAGGCATTCAGCCCTTATCTCTTCTCTTTCCTAGAAGCCTATACTGAAAAGCAAAGCAGAACCAGGCCTGACTGGGTTCTCAGGACCCATAGCAGCTGTGCCCAGGGAGGCAGGCATGATGCTATTTTGTTGTGCTTCTGTTTACCTTTGGCAGGACAAGACCTTGACCACAAGCCTGCCTTGGGTGTTAAGTTTGGAGGAGGAGCATTGCATGCACAGTAGGCTCTATGACTCCCTGCTGCTAGGCAAGAGTGGGTGCTCTCCTCTCTGGGCACCTCTCCACTCCCGGGAGATATCTTCACTCTTCTTGGGAGCCAGAAAATAAATGAGGCCCTTGGGATGGGAGTGAGGGACTCTGCAAACAGCTCTCTTCATTCCCAAAGAGGTTTACTTCACCCCAATAATGCTAACCTGCATACCCCAGAGACCACAAGTTCTAGCCCCTCCATGCCATGCCTCTGATCCACAGTGGTAAGCTTCTCTCTGTAGGGAGAGTAGCCAGGGAGCCTTTCATGGGCACAGGAAGTGCAGGCTGGCTGGATTGGTCCAGGACTTTGAATTCCAGTTTTGAAAACTTAGATTCCTGGTTCTAGAATCTATAATCCAAGCTGGGAATGTATTTATTGCTAGAGGATTTGTATCCAATCCTAGGTTCAATCCCTATTATGGTAAAAAATAAATGAATAATAAAACCTGGCCTTTATTTAAAGATTTGGGTGATTTGAGCCCCATACTCTAGAGCCCAGATGTTTCTCTTTAGAATGTACCACTCCAGCTTCGCCCTCCAATAAATCATAAAGCTTCATAGTGGGAGAGGTGGCTCAGAGGTTGAGAGCATTTGTTAGTCTTCCAGAGGATCCATGTTTGGTTCCCAGCACCCACATCAGATGGCTCACAAATGCCTGTAACTCCAGTCTCAGTGGATCTGATACCCTCTTCTGGAATCCCACACCCACATAATTAAAAATAAATAGAAGAAAAAAAAAGAGCCTTTTCCTCTGAACTGGGGGCCTTCTCTGTTTAAGCCTGAGTTTAAGATCATCCTTCTCTCACTGGCCAAAATCTGACTTTCAAGTTCAGACACTGTGTGGGGTCTGTGTCCATGGGATCTGGTTCTCTGGTACCTAGGCTTTTGTCCGTGTAGCTGCTGGCTGATTTGGGCTTTTGTGTGGATCACAAAAAGTACCCCTTGGCAAGTGGTGCCTTTGTGCAAAAGCAAAGGTGCAACTTCCTTTGGTAGGAAATGGACTATTTGTCTCTCCATTTTATTAGGGAGAATGAGCTAATGTCAGCCTCGTCTTTTGCCCTTTGTTGTAATTTTTGTAGCAAGTATAAACTTTATAACTGTATGTGGCAGTTCTATCTACAGAATGTGCTGTATATGCACCTCCAGCTACAGTGCTATTCAAAAGCCTCACGGGAACTGAGAGTCTATCTATCTATCTATCTATCTATCTATCTATCTATCTATCTATCTATTTATTTTTGCTCATTTTTTGTTATTTATTTGAAACAGGGTCTCTTTGTATCCCTGGCTGAACTCAGTAGGTAGATCAGGCTAGCCTCAAACAACTGCCTCTTACTCCAGCGCTGTGATTAAAGGCATGTGCCACTAAGCCTGGCTGGGACTGGGATTCTTGAAGGACTAGGTCTCTGTATATGAGATCTGAGCTGCAGTTATGCCTAGGACCTGTGGCATCGGGATCAGAAGTCCCCTATCTATCAGTGGGGAGTAGGCTTTTGTTTATATCTGTGACTTCAATCATTTCATTATTGACTGACCCAGAGTAGGGATGGGTTATCTGGCACTGCAGTCCAGCATGCGCGTGCACGCCACATCTACAGCACCGCTGGATACAGCACTGCAGTCCAGCATGCGCATGCACGCCGCATCTACAGCACCGCTGGATACAGCACTGTCATCCAGCATGCGCGTGCACGCCGCATCTACAGCACCACTGGATACAGCACTGCAGTCCAGCATGCGCGTGCACGCCGCACCTACAGCACTGCTGGATACAGCACTGCAGTCCGGCATGCGTGTGCACGCCGCATCTACAGCAACGCTGGATACAGCACTGCAGTCCGGCATGGATGTGCACACCACACCTACAGCACCGCCGGATGCAGCACTGCAGTCCGGCATGCGAGTGCCAGCCGCATCTACAGCACCGCTGGCTACAGCACTGCAGTCTGGCAGGGATGTGTGCACGCCGCACCTACAGCGCCGCCGGATGCAGCACTGCAGTCTGGCAGGGATGTGTGCACGCCGCACCTACAGCGCCGCCGGATGCAGCACTGCAGTCTGGCAGGGATGTGTGCACGCCGCACCTACAGCGCCGCCGGATGCAGCACTGCAGTCTGGCAGGGATGTGTGCACGCCGCACCTACAGCGCCGCCGGATGCAGCACTGCAGTCTGGCAGGGATGTGTGCACGCCGCACCTACAGCGCCGCCGGATGCAGCACTGCAGTCTGGCAGGGATGTGTGCACGCCGCACCTACAGCGCCGCCGGATGCAGCACTGCAGTCTGGCAGGGATGTGTGCACGCCGCACCTACAGCGCCGCCGGATGCAGCACTGCAGTCTGGCAGGGATGTGTGCACGCCGCACCTACAGCGCCGCCGGATGCAGCACTGCAGTCTGGCAGGGATGTGTGCACGCCGCACCTACAGCGCCGCCGGATGCAGCACTGCAGTCTGGCATGCGTGTGCACGCCGCATCTACAGCAACGCTGGATACAGCACTGCAGTCTGGCATGGATGTGTGCACGCCGCATCTATAGTACTGCTGGATACAGCACTGCAGTCCGGCATGCGTGTGCACGCCGCATCTACAGCAACGCTGGATACAGCACTGCAGTCTGGCATGGATGTGTGCACGCCGCATCTATAGTACTGCTGGATACAGCACTGCAGTCCAGCATACGTGTGCATGCCGCATCTACAGGATACAGCATTGAAGTCCGGCATGTGTGTGCATGCCGCACCTACAGCACTGCTGGATGCAGCACTGCAGGCTGGCATGTGTGTGCACGCCGCACCTCCAGCACCGCCGGATGCAGCACTGCAGTCTGGCATGGATATGTGCACGCCGCATCTATAGTACTGCTGGATACAGCACTGCCGTCCGGCATGTGTGTGCACGCCGCACCTCCAGCACCGCCGGATGCAGCACTGCAGTCTGGCATGGATATGTGCACGCCGCATCTATAGTACTGCTGGATACAGCACTGCCGTCCGGCATGTGTGTGCACGCCGCACCTCCAGCACCGCCGGATGCAGCACTGCAGTCTGGCATGGATATGTGCACGCCGCATCTATAGTACTGCTGGATACAGCACTGCCGTCCGGCATGTGTGTGCACGCCACACCTAGAGCACTGCTGGATGCAGCACTGCAGTCTGGCATGTGTGTGCACGCCGCACCTACACCACTGCTGGATACAGCACTGCAGTCCAGCATGCGCGTGCACGCCGCACCTACAGCACCGCTGGATACAGCATGGAGTAATAGCAGAGAGATTCTTAAAGTAATACTTACCCTGCTACAGAGGCTGTATCCTCAGTCTTCCTCTGTTTCATTCTTTTAAAATGTGCTCGCGGCTGAAGAGATGGCTCAGAAGTTCAGAACATTTTTTACCCTCGCAAAGGGCCTGGGTTCAATTCTCAGCACCCACATGGTAGCTTATAACCACCTCTGATTGCAGTTCCATGGGATCCTACCCTTCTTCTGGTC